AATACAACTCACAAATACTTTCAATTCACCGCATTAAAATTTCCTCTGGTCACAGCTGTTATTATGATTTAATTCTGTTTTATGTTTTTGTCAAGCTTGGCAGCTGAGGTGCATGCAAGTATAGGAGAAGGTCCGAGCACGCTTAAGCAGCGACTTATATTGAACAACAGCATATCGTTGATGACACTGTGTCACCTATTGTGCCACGAAAGGGATATGGACGAAGGAAGAGCACAGATTCTGAGAAGTGTCGAAGAGGCTCAATGCTAATCCAACAGGTCCCCAAAAACAACGCATGAAATGTCGAGTCGCATCATGACAACTGGTTGTGGTGGCTTATGTCGTTTTTGGCGAAAACAATATCGTTGAGGTTGAAAAACGGAAGAAGCTGACAAAGCCGCCCTTCATAAAACGATTAGCCACAAAAACGTGGTATTCTTGGTAATACGAGGCTGTTTAAGCAGGTTGGTAATTAGTGCTTATGAGCTGTGGGTCTAACAAAACAGGATTTTAGGGCTGATAAACTTTTCAAGAGTATCAAATCTGTGTTGTCTAGGTTCCAAAATTCAATAATCTTTTTTAGCCATAAATAATAGTTCTTAAATGGAAAGAGTGAATTATTTTCAACTTGGTTACGGTATAGTGCAACTTGGAGCATTATTATCATCATCAAATTAACAGTACTTTGAAGTTCTTGCTGATTCCTCATTCTACTCGGAGATATGAGTGGTAAACTTGAGAGTTTCCCTCTAAGAATTCAACTTTTCCCTCTGGCAAATCCAGTTGACTCAGTGCGCAATTTGGTAGAACAAGTGCGCAGCAAGACGACAAAAACTAGTCCAATTTATGCCAAGTGCAACACGGAGCAAAATACGTGCTCATAATCTAGTAAATGTCATGGATTGTTTCTTTGGGGAGGGTAAGTAGGAGTACTCAAAAAGACGCAAAAATCAAAAAGTGAAAGCTGTTTCAGTAACTTGAAAAAAGCAATTATTTCTGATTGAAAATTGTGTATAGAGAGAGTTAGAGGTTAGAGAGAGGGTATACTCTGAGTAGCTAACTAGATTACAAACTAAAGTAGTTGTAAGTAAATAGTGTGAGGGTAAAGGAGTGGAACATCTTGCACGTCATTCAGATCGTAGCGACGACAGCAAAGCAATTATCTGTCCTCGAACAACTCTCGCACAGCCTCGTTAACCGGACCAAATCCCTACATCGGTAAGAGAAAGTCCAACGGATGCTCATGCCTTTTGTCCGTGAACCCATTCACAAACTCTAAGTGTTAGAACTTACGCTGGAATTGTTCTTTTCACAAACTCGACAATACGAGAACGGAATATGATGGGAAAAAGTTCATTCAAGGTCATTATTGGCCTTCAAGATACCTTCCGGGGACGAGTCGGATTCGGATTCAGTTCTTCGCTGAGAAAGCATAGAGGGAAGTGTTCTTCTGGATAATGGTGAAAGTATAGGAAGCAAAGTGGACTGATTCATAGTTTCCCTTTTACAGCGCTGCACTTTGCGAAGAAGAGGCGGAGGAAAGACGTCATTGTGGTGCTGCAAAATTTTAGCTTCTGCAGCCAAAGCTGCTTTTTTGAGAGTTCGTTATCAATGAGGAGATATGCAATAACCGGTCATCCAGTGAACAATGGCTCGAGCGAATGATATGCTTTAGATAAATCATGATGAACTTAATTGCGAATGAAAGCAAAAAACATTGCTCGAATCGCCAATTCCGTGTTCAACGTTACGTATTGGCATTAACATGGCTGTTGGCTCAAAGAACATGCCTTCTTCCAAAACGCTAATAAGAACTATGACAACAATGGCCTCC